ATAGGGTGGACGACTAATTTTTATTTTAATGCCCGTCTGATAGATTATTTTAAATCATTACACATGTATTTTTTATTTTCTTACATACTGATACATTATGAAACGAATACTTTCCACGATATATTGATTTGAAATGTCGTGTGACGTCACTTTTATGTACATTTTATACTTAGAAATGACGTTTTAGCCCACACTCCTAAACTTTGATTCGTTTTATCTAAGTTTTGTTTTATTATACGACAAAATAAAAAAATACGTGTCTAATATTTTTTAAACTGTCAAACACCAACCGGTCACCGGTGACCGCAACCTATTGTTCTATAATTGTGTCTACAAAACCGGTACTCGGAGTTAAATACCTAACTTACGGACTAATTAGATTTACCCTGTCGTCATCCCAATTGTGCCCGGTATATGACAATAGGCTCAGGCTTACATGGGATTAATAACATAAATAGTGAAAAGTGGGTGTTACATTGTACAGTGGCATAATGTGCAGCTCTGCCTACCCTATTCATATTCGATAATGGAGTCAAAAATGCCTATTCGAGCTAACTTGATCTCCTGTAGGTATATATTAACTTTAGGTACTTATATAAACTTTAGGTACCTAATAGATTTTGAAAAGGCCATAAAATATCATCGTATAAACCGCGTATAGGTTTTGTTTATTAATACGTCGGAATATCAACAGATTATTTCAGAAAATTTACTATCATCATCCATACCAAGATATTACTTACTTATTAGGTAGGAATTGTCGATATCAATAACGAATTTTATAGTACCAAAAACTCCGGGTTGATTTTTAGTCTTATAAATGAACTAAATGTTAAAGATTGAATTGAGATTCGTTTGAGAAAAGTCTCTAACAAATGCAGAGATAAAAAATACAAGTTTCTTTTTTCAAAACACAAATTAAGTTTTATATTCTTTGTAAGTAGTTTTTTAAGTTTTAAATATTTAATATTAGTAATATGGATATATATACGCCATACGGATCAATAAACTTATTTTGTGTTTTGAAAATAAAATAATTGGGTAAGTTCATTTCCTGTTTCATTTATACTTCGAACACATATAGGCATCTAACCAAAAGCTCGACACAACATTGTTCTCCTTCATATTATCGTCATCTCTGTCAATATTAAATCGCATCGAAATTTCAATTTCAATAAAGCCGAAGCCACACAGAAACGTTTATAAAAGGAAGCCTACAATAATCCGGGATACCGAATTAATTACAAATATTTCATATCGGAACCCTAGAAGGGCGGAACCCGTTTCCACAGTTTTCCACACATTTTCAAACACCCCTTTTGTGAGACAGAAATAGCCAATCGAACTGTTGATGCTAAAACGAGATGCAAAACGGTAAACAGTGGAATTGAGCAGAGCGATGTGTATTCGTCCTTGTTTAACTAATCGATGAGTTAGTAAGAGTGAAAGGGACGGTGTTACCTGAGGGTGTACGGCCTCGGAGGAACAGTCGCCATGGACGACGGCGTGTTTCAACGAGAGGAGGACGTCCGCCGCCTCCCCGCCTCCCCGCTCCCTGCATTCCCCCGCTCCGCTCCTGTTTGGAGTAAAGGGATGTGTTGAATTGCATCGATTTGTGCAATTACTACTTAGTTATGGTAGCGCAGTAGGCATTGCCTATTCTCGTCCCTACACATTTAAAGCTTTGGGTCACATGTATTTGTCGAGATTAAATTCAATGAAATTAAAGTTTGCCCATATCAACAAGTTACAACAGCCTTAACCTTATGAGATTCCCCGCTGTATGTGAAATAACTTTAACCACATTTAGAACAAAATTATTTTTTTTGTACCTTTTCTTTTTTGTTTTTTACTTTTGCAGCTTTTTATGGTGGTCGAGTGTAGCTGCTACATGCATATTAAATGGGCTAGTTTGACCGAGTAGCGAATACCAATTTTCAAAAACTCAGAATACACTAGCGTGTAGTAGTTTCAGAAATATGGCGCAATTAAACATCAGCTTTCTACCATAAGCATTATGTTACTACCAATGCAGATTAATACCATTAATTTAAAAAAAAATTGAGACCATTTGCGATCTTAACTATAAAATTTTTAAAACGGGATTACCAAGATTTCCACACTTTAAAAACCTTTGCCAAACATGTTCGACTGTTGGAAATGACTTAAAGCAAGAACCTTCATCAGTAACCAAAGTCACTTTGTCCAAGTAAGCTGTTTAAATGTAAATGAAAGAAGCTCACTTGTATCCCGAGCATGGTGAGAATGGAAACAGCGAGGGCAGCGGCTCCAGGTCCAGCGGGGGCAAGGAGAAGGAGCCCATGTCCTCGGGCGGCCACCCCTCGTCCGGAGACAGCGCCGAGCAAGCGATCGTATCGCTTAAAGCGTTCAAATCTTCGCCATTTTCTGGACAGCAGTTCTCGTTTTCCTGCTGTAAGAGAAATTCTTGGTCAGAATAATGTTCTTTATAAAATATTATAGATTATACATTTTTAAAAACCTCACATCAAATGGACACAATGGTAATTCAACGCAATTTTTTTTTTTGTTTTGGTTGGGACTGACATTTTCCCACTATCTCGCTGGTCGACCCATAAGCAACCTATTCACTCGTGCCTTGAAGATACCCAGGTTATACCCTTCAAGAAATATAGACTCTGGCAAAGAATTCCACTCCTTAGCAGTACGCACAAGGAGGCTTGATGCGAAGCACTTCGTGCGTGTAGATGGGGCATCTACCATGAATCGGTGACGTTTAAAATAATCCAGGAAATCTTAGGTTTTAATCTGCGAAATAATTTTCTTGTCACTAAATATTTGTTCTGAGCAAGGTTTTTATATGCGCAGTCTCTCAAACGTAACAATTCCATAAGAATTATTCCGCATTATCTTTAAATTGTTAGAAGAATCGAGCTATTTTTTTGCAAATAGCAACGGGTCTGCTGCTCGCGGTTGGTAGACAAGTAAAAACCTGGATGTTTATATGAGAAACTTTAACGTTTATTTAACAAATCAAGTTCCTCCCGCGTTGTTAAACATCGCTGTAACTTATTAATTTCTTGAAAGCAAATTTTGAGCTACCATCAGCAAAATCGTTACGTACGTAATGACGCCCTTAATTATTTGCGATTTTTTTTTGTAGAATCATTCACCTACACACAATTTGTATGATGTTGATTAATATTTTATGAAACTGATTGTCAATGGAATATATTTTCTTTATATATTTCTTTTAGAGAAAAATTCCTGAAAAAAAAAAGTTTTAGACATGACTACCAAGTAAAATTTATTTTATGAAGTTTGCAATTTAATTTTACCTAATACCTATACAAATAAATACACTTATTCCTCATTAAACTGGTTTCAAGTTATAATAGCCGTCGGTTCCGTTTGCGATTGCCGATTAAGAACCATAATATGCGACCCTGGTCTAACATTTTCTGCCTAAAAATTAGGTACTATTAGTAAAATATCCAAGCACGAATGTATACGTATTTACCAGTAAACGATTTTTTATTAAAACTGAAATATTTACAACAAAAGGCAAGGTAAAGATAAATAAATATTATGTACAACTTAAGATACACTATAACAAAAAGATAAAAAATAAATAAAAACTAAAAATAACTATTTACAGAGAGTATCAAAATAGTCGTCCGCATCGACGTCAATTGGGAAAGTACCCAGAAGGCTGGCAGCATTGCCACGTTGTATGGCAATGCTTAACCTCTGACCGAGAAATAGACCAACCGTCTTGTCACGAATTTGAAATGTCACTACATAGTATAAAACAAAGTCGCTATCCGCCGTCTGTCTGTCCCTATGTATGTTTAGATCTTTAAAACTACGCAACGGATTTTAATGCGGTTTCTTGTTAATAGATAGAGTGACTCATAAGGAAGGTTTAAATGTATACATGAATACACTGAAACTTGGTTAAGTGGGACCTGGATAAGTGAGAAACCTCCATAACTGGAACTCATGCTAAGGTCCCAACACTTTGGCACTGAATTACCTCTGTTAGTGGGACGAGGTAAACTCTATATCTGGGATTTGTTCTTTCGATTTATCATCATAGTTACCTCTATAACTGAGACAGCGAGTATATTTTATATGCATAAACCTCTGTAACTGAGATAACATTGTTTGTTTACTGATTCTTATTCTACCTACAAATTACATACGTAATTCCAAGTCCACCTCTATTAATCTAACCCTCTGTAAATGAGACAGTTTACTTATACCTGTATATCTGAGACACTGGGTAAGTGGAATACCTTTATAAGTGAAATGACATTGCAGATCCCTTGATGTCCCACTTAACCAGGTTTCACTGTACATCCATGTTGCAGCCGCGCGATGCCGGGGCGGGTCGCTAGTTTTTAAATAAAGTAGCCCATACTCCTCGGACCCCACGGACCTACGACCACGTCTCAACGTCTAAGTAGATACCTAATTCCTAGGCAAAAAATGTTAGGTCAAGCACGAATGTCTTAATTGTATAGAAGTAATTTTAAATTGAATCACCACGCATTAAGTTTAAGCTGTGTAAGGATTACTTAAATGGCTGGATTAACGCGTTCTCTAGAAGGTTGTGTTATATCGCTGATCTCTGACTGGGTGAGAACTGAATCTTAAACCTATACCTGTATTACCTCTATTCATATACTTTCAGAGAAAAGTAACCAGCAGCTGTAGCCAAATGCCGCTTAACGCGTGTCTACATATAATAATAAATAATAATAATAATAACTCTTTATTTCAGACTCTAAGATCCATAGTTATATGCACAGTATACAAATACAATTATAAAATATAAGAAAATAAAAAAATTCAAATAAAAATTCAAATTAATAATTGTATATGTAAGATATAGAATAGAAAATCAAATTATATGGGATTGACGTAAATTTTGACACTTGTCAGTGTCATCCCCATACATTTAGTTTTCTACTCTCTCAGTAGACAAGCGCTAAAGTGGCATTTGGTAAAGGCACTGATCACGATAGATAGGTACTATGATGAATCAGCTAACCTAAGTGTTTACAAAAGTTTTGCGACATACCCACCTATGCCCAAAAATAACTTTAAGATATTAACATTAATGTTTATAAGCAGTCTCTGTTAAAAAGCTAACTGATCTACAGATTTTGGATTAAGACTGGTGAATTAATACCTCCACTTGAACATGGTTCACATCGTATGTTTTAGAACGTGAATTTTCTGTCATCGTGAACATGAACATCCTTGAAAAAGATTAAGAAATGACATGATTCGTGGAATAGGGTGTTTTCTTCTGAATTTTACCTAAATTATTTTAAGCGTATAAGCGCCCTCGTTCTTGATAAAATAATAAACATAGAGTATTTCTTTTTGTATCATAGAAATAAATGTTATGCAAATAAGGTTTTAAATATATTGCAATATTGACCTTTTTTAAACAACCAGTTTGGGATTTAGGTAGATATAGATAGTCAAGTTCTTTCGTTTCATTTTGATGTGTTTTGGTTTGATTAATATTTAGTCGCATTTTAGGTTTATAGTCGAATGGACCAATTTCTCATTAACATTTTGTACTTGAATAATTGGCGCCCAACTTGGGACCCCAGATTAAAAACTACAACAGCTCAATTAAGTCTTGTTTCTAAACCGATCTTCAAGACACCTAGGTACACTTTGTTCACAAAGAGCCTACCAATAATATTTGACTCAATTCATATACGCCAAAGTAGTTGTTCTTCGTCAAAAACTTACCTGCATTAGAAAAATGGTAAGTACTTATATATCACTGAATTAGTATGAAGTTGGTCTAATCTACTAGTAACCTAATTACATGATCATTTATATCAGATTTAGAATTGAAATTGGCGCCCAACATGGGACCAACCATTACACCAATTTGGGCACTATTAATTAAAACATCATCACACTTATACCTGTACGAATCCACCTGGAACTGCACCTTCTAAACACACACACACACACAAACACCAGAATAAGAACACACCTGACAGCACTCTTCGGGGAACTCTCTCAAGGGGTTCTCGACACAGGTGCACTGGAGAGGATCGCAGCAAAGCCCGTGGTCTGTCGGGCAATACTCGACCAACCCGAATTGGGGGTTGTTCGGTACGTAGCAATCCATCGCCCCGCCTCTTTGCGCGCATCTCTACAGCGCAGGGGCGGAGATTCTGCTCATTGTTCACTCAGATGCTTAAATGCTCAGTTTCCGACGCTTGTAGTCGCGGGTTGGCATGCTGAAATGTGATATGGTTGTTTTAGTTTATATTTTCTTGTATGAGGTTTACTTATATACATAGTATTTAGAAGTAGGTACCTACATATGTCATAGTTGAACAATAAATGACACTAGAAATCATAATTATTGATCTGGAAATTTCAATCAGTTAATTAAAATAAAGAGATATGTATCTAATTACAGTTAATTAAACTGTCAAACACCAAGCGGTCACCGGTGACGGCAACCTATTGTTCTATAATTGTGTCTGCAAAACCAGTACTCGACGAGTTAAACTAGATCTGTTATTAGTTAAATTAACATAATATTTATTCGTCAATTAAAATTTACATGAAAATTATCTCCTATCCTATCCTAATTAAAGTTTATTTTCGAGTGAAATATTGCGTGGATCGTGCTGAATGGCAAAACCCTAGTTTGTAAAAGAGGCTTATAGTTAAGTAGTCTAGCAGTAAACAGTCGCAGGGTAAATTCCTGACGACAATGATTCGGAAAATATTATGCACAATACGGTAGATAAATTATTATGTTTTCGGCTTACTCACGTAATAATTTGACAAGGAACTCGACTAGTTTCACTAGTTGCTCATGAATATGAACCTCTAACTTGGCTTAGTTATTTAATATGTCTCACGAAACTTACAATACAAATACGGTACATGCCTAATTTTTATTTTAATGTTCGTCTGGTAAATTGTTCAAAAACATTAGACGCGTATTTTTTTTCTTACAGAAACGAATACTTTGGACGATATATTGATTTGAAATGTCGCGTGACGTCACTTCTATGTACATTTTATACGAAGAAATTACATTTTAGTCCCCACTCCTAAACTTTGCTTCGTTTTTATCTGAGTATTGTTTTATTATACGACAAAATAAAAAAACTCATTAGATTTTTGATTTTCATATCCTGTCATCATCCCAATTGAGTAATTAGCTAAACCTAGTTTTTTGTGCCATTGGTTTGGACCGTAAACCTTTTGTGTAAGAAATGGTTTACACTTACTACTGTCCTCGTCTGTATTTAGTACAGTACTAATTAATTATAGTAACATTATTGATTAAGTAAGTAAGTACCTACTTTCAATTTATAAAAATGTTAGCTTCATTGTGCCTCGTTGGCCGATTGGTCGCAATTGCGACTGCCGGGCAAGGCGTCTCGGGTCCGATTCCCAGGTCGGGCAAAGTATTTCTGGGTTTAAAATAAATCTCAGTAGTAGCAAGGAGTCTGGAATTGTGCCCGGTACATGGCAATAGGCTCACCCCATATTACAAGGGACTCATAACATAAATAGTGATAAGTGGGTGTTATATTGTACAGGGGCATTAAGTGCCGTAATGTGCACCTCTGCCTAACCCTTCGGGGATAAAAGGCGTATTGTTATCTTATGTTATGTTTTTTTGAGGGGTTAAAATCATCCCAACTTGGGTAGGACATAATTTAAAACCACGATAGTCGAGATCGTGACACGTACAAAGCTTAACGCACGTATTATTTTAACAGGAGGTGTCCTAAGAAACACTGTATATTCAGTATCAGGTTACATGTTAATTCTTGTGACCACAATATTGCTGCTGGATAAAACCTCAATTCCCCGTTAAAATCTTTGGTTTTTTATATTGATCATTGCGATCGATCAAATACACATGTATTTTTACTTATAGCAAACTACCTACCTAATTAGGGATAGTTGGAGTTGTAATCAGAAACCACAGAGGTAAATAGAAAAATGTTATATTGAGATATTAGAGTACAAAACTTGCGCTAAGGAAGCGAGCGGTACGTCAAGTTTGAAATGGTTCTGAACTTTTTCGTTGTAAGAAAAATTATTTATTAAGACGGCCACGTCCTGTCCCTCTACCCGCGGTCCCCCCGCGCGCTTCCTTTACAATATAATAAGTTAAATGAAGATAAAATAACCTACTAACCTACTGTAACACTTCTCTGCATCACCCTGTGGTTGGCTGGTAGAGAATGCCATTCGGCATTAAGTCCGCCATTGTATAAATTTGTACAAAAGTGTTAAATAAAAATAAAAATAATAATTTTTAATAAAACTAATTCATCGCTAACAGGGATCTTAAATCAATTCTCAGGTGGGAAAGGGGTTTCGGAAATTGTCATTAGTCGCACGGTGCGTAAAATTGTGCCCGAAATATGGTAAGAGACTCGCCCTTTACTTTACCTTATCCTGGCTTACAGGATTTGCAACAATTTTCGGAGAATCGAACCCTTATTTATACATATGTACATACTACATAACTTCACGCCTGTCTCCCATGGGGGTAAGCAGAGAATATGGACCGCCAATTACTACAATTCCTACATATTTTTCGCTTCATCAACAGTCATCAATTTTTTAATGCATGCTCGTCGGTTAAGGGTACTTTTAATTTGACCCTTCTTTAATATTAAAGAAGGGATTAAAGAAGGGTATTAAAGAAGGGATATATATCGCCAATCTGTTCAGTATATTATGTCCGTCTAAGGCACCCTCTACCGACGGCCCCATTCATATCCGCTCTGTATACTTCTTTGGTTACTCTACTTTCATCCATCCTTTCTACATATTATCCCTTTTTTATAGGACCCATAATAGACCTAATTGACATATTTAGTATAGTGGTACCTAATTGACATATTACCTAAGTGTATTCATAAGTACCTCTATAAGATAATTTTGTATTGTGATCAACTTTATCAACGAGCAAATTGGATTTAATTCCCCTTCAGTAAGCTTCAATCAACTGTGAATCAATATAGCTTGCTTAGAGGTCAAACTGTACGTTCGATCAAAACTAGAACATGATTTATATTAATTGTACCTATTTATCTATACCTCCCACATTTTCAACCCACTGGCTGTCTGTTACCCACACTTTAATATCACTGATGAACCAACTGGGTATTTTCCTAAATCAAAAATTAATAATCGACTGTTCAATACAATAAAATATTAAAAAATAATCACACTTTCATTAATTGATTTTATAACAAACTTAATTGTAGTAGTTATTTTTCCAGCAAATATTTAAGAAATAAGTATGTTGTTTGACGCTAAAAAAACGTGACCTCACAATAGACAATCTCGTACAAAATTCATAGAATTAACTGTCGTTTTTGACAGTTCGAAAAAAGTATTGAATTTGATTAATTGGCAAGTACCCAATTTATTATTTCTTATTTGGTAGGTACATGAATTGAATAGACTTTAACTATCTATTTAGGACTTTTTATTATAGCTGTTCACGTTTCGAAATACTACAGGGTGGAGACGCGTGCATAAAGCTAAAAATCTAAATCTATACATGTAATAAGTCGCGGAGAACCTAACGGGTAACCGGGGCTCCGACTCGACGTGCAGGAGAAGGAACGGGGTGGTTTTTAGTCAGTAAGAGTCTGACACTCCCTCCCGCTTCACCCAGGCGGGAGCAGTCATTCGATGATTTTCCCCCCTTAAAAAAAAATACAAATAATAAAATTGTAGAATCGTATATTCTGTATTTTTTTTTATGTATTGATCGGCCGACGTTTGACCACTATCTCGCCTGGTGGTAAACGATGATGCGGTCTACGATGGAGCACGTCGTCCCATAAGCAACCATAACGATAATTAAAAATATAAAAAATGGATACTATCTAGACTCCGAACCAAAAATATGACATATATTTTTTTTATCTGGCTACTTTTTACCCCTGGGATCGCGGCCGAAGCCAGCGCAGAAGCTATTAAGTAATAAATATAATTTCGTTTGACCGAAAACCCAAGATTTTCCGACAGGGAAAAGTGCCATGTTTGTTGATAAGTACCCACTTGGTTTACTTTAGGGACTTATTAAAGTTTTCGATTGAAACTTTACATTGTTATGGCAAGGACTCTCCTATAAAAAGAGGGCAGAAACTCAAGGAGTAGGAAAACGTACCGAAATCATGTTTTGTGGTTTACCATGTACTGTACCACCTGGTCCTCTCACACCTCGGCCTGCGACTGCGATTCGTAGAACAATAATGAAGGAAATTTTAAATTGAAAGTTATTTTACATTCTACTGCTGACAAAGGTGATATTAAACTTTTTTCTGTGTGTGTGTTAACTCACTAACACAACCACAAATCCTGTTCGAAGAAAGAAAATTGTTTGTACACTTAGGAGAAGGTTTTTAGTAATCACGCCTTTTATCCCCGAAGGGGTAGACAGAGGTGCACATTATGCCACTGTACAATGTAACACCCACTTTTCACTATTTATGTTATGAGTCCCATGTAATAGGGAGTGAGCCTATTGCCATATACCAGGCACAATTCCAGACTCCGTGCTACTACTGAGAATATTTAAAAACTCAGTAATACTTTGCCCGACCCGGGAATCGAACCCGAGACCCCTTGCCCGGCAGTCGCAATTACGACCACTCGGCCAACGAGGCAGTCAAATATTAATTCACTATAAAAAAAGAGTGGGATGAAGGTTTTTTAAATGAGTCTTATAAAATAATTATCTTTGTAGAGATCTTGCTTACTTTTGAGGCATATTTAGCATCATACCATCGATCACATTAATAAATTTTGCATAGTTATGAAGTGCCTGGAGTGGGTGGTGGAATTGCTCCAACTTGAACTAAAAGGAAGAATCTTAGTAGTGAAACAGTAATTTCTTCTATGTTAAACATAAGGTTTTAATACATCTAATTAAGGGGAAGGCTTAGATATACATATCTACATTATGTTTTGTTGTACACCATTTACTTGTGTCATAGATATTTTCCTTACGTTTCATCTCTGCAATCATAGCAAAGTATTTCTTACCACACGCATTGCAAATTAACCAATATTTTTTTTCTGAATAAACTATTATCACCCAATTTTTAAGTAACATTAGTTAACAATGT